CATTCTTGGTGTTAATCGTCCTTGTGTATAAAACAAGAACAAAAGGCCGGAACAATTTGCCGTGATCCCATACACGCACAATTCATTGCACCGATTGAGGGCTCTCGCATCCCGCTTCAACAGAAATGTTTTTTTCTCGTAGAATGCGGCGTAAGCAACCCTGTCAACGCGTCTAACAATCAGGAAAAACCGCAGGGGTGCAATGTTAAGCACGTTGACAAGTTCGTCCCGTGCAGGGAAGAAAAAGTTTATTCCATTCCTTTGACTTGCGGGAAACAGTATATTGGGCAGACATGAAGGCGAATTAACCACAGACTCAGAAAACATAATTAGGAAGTTTCACGTTCGTCAGCTGATTCCTTTGACCCCATAGTCATTCATGCCCGCACATGCACCGACTGCGTTTCTTGTTTCAAGAAAACAAAGTTTCTGGGAGAGCATCATAACCGATTTCGCAGAAAAATCATTGAGTCATTCACCATGAACACTGCTGACAACAATGTATCCGCGCCTTCCCTTCTTCTTTCCAAAGCAGAGATAACCTACCTGACTCCAGAATTAGCGTAGATTATAACCGTCCCTCACCCTATCAAAACATTTTCTGCTCACTGTTACTTCACATTTTATATTATTTTCTACTTCACATTTACACTTTCTTTTATCTCTGTTTTTGTTTGGTCCGCGCCCAGTCCGTTGCTTCCAGGCGTCCCGTGCATCGCCGTTGCCCGCCGCCTGGACCGTCCCTCCCGGCGTCTCCGGTTACATCCGCCGTTGTTTGGCTCAATAGGTCATGTTCTCTGTAAGTGGCGAACACGCACATAATACACTGACACCCTTTCTCTCATTTTTTTCTTGACGGGTCTGAATTGCAGGGAGTGCTTTTGGGCTCATTCGTGTTGTTGCCAGTTGAAAGAAATGTTCGTCGTCCCTTGTCCGGAGTTTGTTTTATTCTTTCTGTTGCCAGTGGGTGGCATTCTACCCCCCAAAAATTGCGGGTTTGTCGAGATTACTGTTGACCTCCTTTTGGAGGTTGTGGCAGGGGGGGCTACAAACTATAGTTGATGCACAAGAACATTTACATAGACGAAGTACTCGTTAGGAACTCAACAAGAATACGCTTGAAAATACAAAAATAAAACACAAAAAGTACAATTAGAACGCAAAAACAAGCACTTTTCACGAACAACTTTCAGCTGATGACGAATTAACATGCTTTTGAGTTAGGTTATTCCACTCCGCAATACTTCGTGGGCAAAAAGAAAATTTGTAAGAATTGCTATGACAACGGTACGAAACAAACGCCCTGTTATGCAGTTTGCGAGTAGCACGAATTATTCGGAGAGTTAAATACCTTGAGGTGTCAATGTTCAAGTCAACTCTTAGCAAGGAGCATAAGTATTTGAGCGTCTATCTGCGGCGCCGAGTGGATAAAACTCAATCTGAGCCTTCCCATAGAGTGGCGTAAAACATTAGTTTCTTTTATACTGGTTTTATATAAATCGTAAAGCTAATCATTGCACTTTTTCTAGTTTGTTAATGTTTACTACCGTATAAGGGTCCCAAACCTGAGAGGCATATTCAATGGCAGGCTTAACGAGGGTTTTGTATGCAGGGAGTTTTATGTCAAACGAAGAGTGATTTAGATTGCGCTTCAAGTACAGAAGTTTACCGAACGTTTCGCGAGCAACAGAGTCAAGGGGTAGATTCCACTTCAAGTCAGCCGAAAAAATTACACCTAAATATATGTACGTAGAGACGCTTTGCAAAGGTTTGTTAATAACATGATAGGAAAAACCGAGCGGCGAAAGTTTCCAAGAGAATCTCATTTGCACACACTTTCCAACATTGAGGGGCAATTGCCAAGTCGTGCACCCCTCAGGCAGCCTTTCCGGAGCACGGTTAAGTAATCGTTGATCGTATACGTTTTTAACTTCACTAAACAAGATGCAATCGTCGGCATAAAAACGCATCTCAACTCCAATAAACGTTTCAACATCATTAATAAAGATGAGAAATAAAAGTGGTCCCAAGACGGAGCCTTGGGGGACACCTGGCAAAACATCTGCTGGATCAGAACTAGCTCCAGCCAGCAAGACAAAGAAACGACGAGCAGTTAAGTAATCTTCAAGCCAAGATGTGATCTTTGGGTTATTTAGGATGCGCGCAAGTTTTAACAGAATTTTAGCATGAGACACCCGGTCGAACACTTTCGAGTGATGATAACATCAACTTGTCCCTTTCGGTCCAGTATCTTACCAATGTCATGTGTCGTTTGTATCAGTTACGTAGTAGTTGAGAGGCCGCGCCAAAAACCTCGTTGGCCAAAGCAAGAAAGAAAAAAAAAATTGTCCGTTTCAAGAAAAAAAGGACATGAGCTTAAACACAATATGCTCTAAAGTTTTTGCACACGACGACAGTAGCAATATGGGCCTGTAGTTGTTCAGTGATAACGCATCCCCAGATTTGTAAGCAGGAATGATTTTTGCAATCGTCCACCGACCGGGGACGGATGCCTCAAGGATCGCGTAAATAAAACAAGAAGAAACTTTGTAAACCATTCAGTATATCGTTTTAAAAATATGTTGGGAATGTTATCTGGGCCCTTATGACTTCTTATTCTCAAGGTTCAGCAGCAATGAAAGTACGCTTTCAACTGATACTTCAATATCAGGAACGCAAAAATTAGTGACTACTGGAGTAGCGACACAGACATCCCTATTTTTTGTGAAGACGGAGCCAAAATAGCGACAGAAACACGTAGTCGTTTCGAGAGGATCAGAGGTAATCTCGTTTTATATATGAAGTTTGGTTATTTGGGAACCTTTAGGCGACAAGTGTCTCCAAACTTTTGACGGATTAGACTTCAAGAAGTCGTGAAAGGTGGAGTTATAATAAATGAACTTTGCATCACGCACTTGCGTCCGAATATCTGCTTTCAGTTTCTCGAGATTAAGCGAACTGCTCTTGGCACTTGACTTCCGAGTACGTGAAATTTCTCGCTTTGGGTTGAATAATATCTCGATTGATCCATGGGTTGCGTTTAGCAGAGTGCTTTTTTACCATAGGCACGAAATCCCGCAGACATCTTTCATTGTCGACACGAACATATTTCACAGTGCGTCGATATCAGTGTCAGGAAAAGAACCGAGTTTAGTAAACTCGTCGAAACGGGACTCGATCACATTAAGGACACTTTCATCATTTGCCTTTGGATAAATACATTATAATTCAATAATCATAATCTAATAATAGACAGTACGTAAGACCCGTCTTCAAATCGGCAGAAAACTCTGTCGTTTTGAAAATCTGAAGTAATCGGAAAAGTAGCGGTATCATTATGAAGTAACGCCAAATTAATTTTCTTCGCAACTAATGAAGTACTCTAATTGAATACTTTTTAAGCGAGACTAATTGTAATCGTAATCGATTACTTTTTTTTCGAGTAACTTCTACAAGACAGGGCGAAAGCTACTTCCCAGCAAGCCACTCGGCACAATGGAGCGAGGCACGTGACATCGGTGCCTTCCTCCGGAGAACTGTCACGTGCTTCGCTCGGTCACTCCTAGGGACTCATGGGGCCGTAGCGTTCTCGCTCTGCCAAGTTAACTCGAAACAAAAAATCATGAGCCATTCCACTCTGTGAAGGTGGGTGACCAGCGAAGTTGTTTAGCAGACGACACGGACCCGCCCCGAGGAGCCGGCGGAAAGTAGACACGCGCGACGGGACTTCTACCCCGGAGGAGCGGACGGAAAGGAAACTAGGCACTCAAGCGCTTGAAACGACGACAAAGAGGGGGTGGTGCGAGCTTAGACATAGCCGACGCGGGTCGCACAGCGGCAAATCGTTGAGAAACCTTTATTATCCACCTGGGAGTCTACTGATCTTGGAAATGGTGCCTATTGATAACTAATACTGAAAATGCATATCCAAGTGATGAGACGTATAAGCTTTTGCATAGAATGAAGCGATTTTGCATCATATTCAGGACCTGAGTTTTTGTTGTCGCGCACGAAAAATCCACGGAACCCTAGCCATAAACAGCTTCGCTGTATTATAGTCATCCTACGTTCCCATGTCCAAAGTAAGCTACTCAAGGATAGAGCACATGTATGCATATCAGCACTTATGCATGTTGACCTCTTCGTCTTTGTTAGTAAACAGCCGTTCTTTGTCCCCAACTCCAACCTCGTGGTGTTGGTGATAAAAATAAACTGGCAACGCAAAAAAAAAATGATGCGGCCTGGCCACCAGTTTTTGCTACACGCTTGCATAGGTGACAACTTCCCGCTCTTCACCTTCGAGTCTTTTCCGCTGAGTGGCGTCGCCTCCCGTGGAGTTCCAAATAGACCATTTTAGTAAGGAGCTTCTGACCGGTGCCGTTTTCAGCGTTCGAGCCAACAGCCGCGTGCTGGGCTGTTGAGAATGCACGCTGCACATATCGAAAACGTCGTAAACGGATGAGTTTGGGAAATACGCGAGGGACCGCATCGAGATTGCCGCTGCCACCGGCGCGGTTGCGTGAAACGGTCGAGTCGTGAGCCAACGGCCAAGGAGGAAAGCACAGAGGAGCACGAAGGTCGAAACTTTCCCCGTGCGGGCTTCGCTAATAGCGTCGTCGGGGATAAAATAAAACGCTACCCCGACGGAAGTCAGCAAGCCGACAAGCCACCAACGAAGATCCGGGATATGTCCTCGGTGCCGGCGAGGCTTGCGTCCGTCGCCGACAGGTGGACCTTCTAGTCCCGTCGGGGTCCTGAAGCCCTGCGGGGGTCCCGATAATCAACCCGTACATAATTAATCGGAGCAACACCACGAGCCACATAACAACAAAAGCACGTAAAAAAAAGAAACAAAAAGCCGTCAGAACAGGGCCACGTCCGAGAGAGAAAGGGCCGATAACAAAAGTGAGCGTGACGCGTGGCCCGGGAGGGAATTCAACGGGAGTGACGAGAGGGGGTGAGAAAGAGTGAGCGAGTGTGCACGCAGCTCGAACGTGTTTATCTAGTCCAACAACTCTGTGAAATGTGGATGCACCCCCACCGCCTCGTGCCGTAACTTTCGCCGGCACACGCCGCCGTTCGCACTAACACGTACGTACGAGCGCGCGCGCTCGCGCTCCGCCGAGGTGGTAGTCCGTTTGGTGAGGGGGCAACGCCGACGTCCACCGGAAAGTCTTCGAACGAGGGTCGGTCGCGTGTCCCGCTGTCGGAGACAATGGAACGCGACGATAAGGAGTCCGTGGCTGCGAACGGCAGCGATGACGTTGTGAGCGAGTTGTTGGGGGACGCGTCCGAGCGTCGGCGGGAGTCGCCCGTCAAGACGTCCACTCTGACGTTCGCCGAACTGCCCACCGAGGATCCCCGGGATAAGAAGTTTCGGTCGTGCACGCTCAAGTCCAGGATCGCAGTGTTCAGGTAGATGGATTATAAACTTCCCGTCTCATTATTATTATTTTGTAGCGAAGGCCCTTCTTACATGTGCTCGACCGTTTTTAGGCAATTTGCCCGGACGATCATCCTACCGGCAGGATTGTACCAATGACAAGTAGAATGTTTCTTTAAACAGAAAACCTACCTGTGATCTTGATTTGTTTTCCGTTTTTTTCCCATAGATTGTAACTTAATTACCATCTGACAGATTTCACTTCTATTCGGTGTTACTTCTATGCGCCAAGAAACTGAGGGAGAGGAGGTGAGAGCGCGGGCACGTCAGAACGCCGAGCTCCGATTCGAATGATTAGTGGGTAGAGCTAAAGCCTTGCCTCCACTGCACTCGTCCAACGCGTTTGAATGCCAAAGCCAAACGTCGGACGCCGGCGTTATTCCGCGTTCTACTCCGCTCGACGAGTGCAGTGGAGTGGAGGCAAACGCAGCTAGCTTTAGGTCTACCCACTAATCATTCGAATCAGAGCTTTGCGTTCTGACGTTTCGAAGCATAGAAATAAAATAGCACAAATAGTGCGAGCGAGTAGGAAAGGACAGGCGCTAACTTTCAACTATTTCTATTCAAGAAAAGGCGGGCAAATATGACACCCTATTCAGCTTGCGTGATGACTGCGTTCCCTAAAGCCAAACAGAAAACAATAGACAAACAGAGGTCTATCTCTATACTTAATTTCGCCCTAAGTCTGAGCGTGGCCGATGTTATGAGCCGAGCGGCCCATCAAACTGTGCAAAAAGCGCAACGTCATGGCGTGCTCTTTACGCTCGATTGGTTGAGCCGGCAGAGGAGCACCCATAAGAAGACTGCGAACATAGGCTGGTCCTATGAACTACGGAGAGCACGCCATGACGTTTGCCTTTTTTGCTGTTTGATTGGCCCTTCGCCTCATAATATCGAACGCGCTGGGACCTAAGATGAAACCAAGTAAAGTCCTCTCTAAAATTGCTCACGTAAGAACTGGATTTCATGGTGAAAAAGTCAGTGATGCAATCAACTGTACTGTATGACGGTGAACTCCAGTTTTTACATGAGCAGTTCTGGAGTTAATGGTTATAAACTACAATCGACGTGTCAGTGATCCAATTCACTGTACTGTATAACGGTGAATTGCAGTTTTTACGGGATCAGTTCTTATAGTCGGTGACAGTTTCTAAGTCCAGCAAACAATCCAGCTCGATCGCGAGCTTTGTGCCCTTGATAACGCTTCATCGCACGCGCAGCAAAATCTCGGCGGAAGGAAAAGAGCGCGTGCTGAAGGCGGAGCTTCTACTTAGTTTTTACCCTGCCACCTACTATAGCCAACCCTTTGGCTGTGTCTGCGTGTTTTTGTTTTATTTTGGTTTTACGCTATGCACCCATTACGCATGCTAGATTCGCCAACTAGGGAAGCAACGTATACTTTGCTTAGTGCTTATTTTCTTTTTATTACTAGAATTGTCCGACAGCAATCCCCTTTGACGTTCGACTGGCGCCAATGCTGATCCACTGCCGCCGGATCATTGGGCTCATGCCAATTTCCAAAGAAAACGAAAAGAAAATGCAATGGTGTTCCCTATATTGTGTTTGCCCGTGTTATGTCATCACGCTCGGGGACAGACGGGCACGCGCGGCATACGTGCCAAGAAAGCGTATCGAAGGGACGGCCCCCGTTTCCTCCCGCCACGGTCCTTGAGCGTGGATGTGGTCTAGACGTCTTCGGAAGGCTTCCCCCGCGCCTGCGTGTGTTGCAGCCCTCGCGGCGGAAGAAAGGCGCAATCCAGGAAACTGCATAACGACCGCCGTTCCGTTTGCCTCGTCACTCGCGCGTCAGCTGATGCCAGTCTCTGGCCATAGCACCGTGTCCGGTTCATGACTGCCTCTGGAAAAACCTGGTCCAAACTGTCTTCCAGCTGTACTTACATGATGGGAACAAACAGCTAAGCGTATACGACGAAAAGACAGAGCCACGACAGGACGCTGCTTTACTCGAAACTGAATTGCTGCCTCGCTGGCGAGTCCTTTCACGCGTGTTTCTAATCTCCTTAACTTTCCTTGCTTGCTTTCTTCGCGCCATTTTCGTTTTTGAAACTTCAACTGCGAGTGTACGACTTTGTCCTGTTGTGGTTGTGCTTTTCTCCGTCTAGCGTTAACTGAGAACAGGTTAAGGGATTTATCAAATTATTCGAATACTAGGAATCCGGCGGTTGAAACGGGTTATTCGGTCAATCATTATTCGATTAGAAATCGAAACTCAAATATTCATACAACACTCCTTCAAAATGGAACAGAAACGACACCCTTATTTGGTCTCGTGGGATCGCGAAGAGTTGGATCTTGCGTTTGCATTGTCGTAACCCGTTTAGATGGCGCCAAACCATGAATAGTTGGTTGCAACTGCCTTACACTATGACTGTATTGCCTATTTGCGAACCTTTCGAGCCTATTCATGGCGCTCAAAACTAACTTTTCTATTGCGTACACATTCGTTAACTTGTCATCACACACTCCGCGTTCATAGCGATAATAAGAAAATCATTGACCATGCGAAGGCTAGACTCGGAGCGAACATGCTGCGAAAAAGGGACGAATTTCGCCCGGCGGTGTTCGCTCTGAGTCTGACGTCAGGATAGTGGCTCTTTTGCAGCGCGAAAAGCAATATTGTGCCTCCGAGCGAAGTTGGTCGATTGTTCGCCGCTTACACGTTCGCTCCATGGAGTCCAGTCGTAAACCTGAGCGCACGGCGAAGTATTTCTTTCTAGGAAAAAAGCAAACGACTTTTTTCTGAGAACTCTAGCGTGTCCTCCAGACGCAAACCAGCCATCGTGCAACGAGGAAGGAACACGCACATCTGTATTGGAACACTTTTCCTTCGTACCGGACAATCGGTTGTCTGTCGTTAAGTGGAGAAGGATATATCGCAACGAAATGAACGAACACTATAGATCGTACCAACAAAAAGTTTGCCTTTCAATATCAACCTCGTATTATTATTTCATTGTATTGCCAGCAGCAACACATAAGGGGCCAAGGTGAAGGTGAACACTGCTGCACAGTCTGTACAAGTAAACGGAACAAAACAGAAATTGTTGGTACCACTACCAACATGAACAACGCACCCTGCCAATGAACTTGACCCCTTCGCTGATATAAATGGCTCGATGTGGAGGAAATAAAACAAACGATAAACAACAAGAACAAAGACAGCAACGCATTACATAAACGACATAATATGCAACACGTTCATTCATCTAGGTGTCAAATAATACCACAAACAGTACACTGCATCGTACTATGATTGGCCTCGACAAATAATAAATAAAACACTAACAATTTTATGCTACTTAAGCTTAGGAAGTGTAGTGACAAAGACAGTTTTTGACTGATTATGCTTAATGAACTAATGGTATACTATTCTATTCATTTATGATATATATATGTATTATTTTCTTTTAATCTGGCATTACGTATTATAAAGGCAGTCTAAGGCACACTCTTTTACGGGTTTGCTTAGAGGCTGGAAAGATCTGCTGCTGGATATATCAACAAACTATGAGTCATTGTTTTTATTCATGAGCAGCCGCACGCAGACGCATCGCTTCCCGATTGTTCCGTGCATTGTTTGTTTCCCTGCGCTCTTCAGGTATTCAGTAGTATCTTGTTTTCGTGGGTGCCTTTTGCGTCTGCATAGCTGAACTGCTGAGTGTTTCTGACTTTGGTACCCAAGATAAAAACAAGACAAAAAAATATGTACCGCCGTTTGGAAAACAAATTGCTGATGTAACTGCTCTATTAGCTAATCTAATAGATTTTTATTTTTACTTATTTGAAATTTATATTTAACTTTCCCACTTTCTAGGTATCGTGTTCCCATGTTCTGCGGCTCGAACGAAAACACCACTTCCACTGGGACTTGACGTAGACCATGTTGGCCACACGCTATAAATTTCTTAATCGTCATCATCTTCAGTCCGCTGACAAGCAGTAAAAACAACAACAAAAAAATCCTTTGGGAGCTCGGAACCGACCGAGAATTGCGTGGAAATCGGAACATGTCAAAATCGTTCCAAACTATTGTCGAAAAAAAGAAATAACGAGGGAATTTACAGCCCGCAAATTACAGATATCGTTTTGTAAGTAGCCCACTCGCGAATAAGGCAAACTATACTCCCGTTGTTCGTTGCATTTCTTAATTATGCGGAACTACTTTCGACAGTTCACATTTTCGTCAGACGTTCGGTTCGTATCTCGCACATGCGTTCCAGTCCGTTCCATCAAAATGCAGTCGTTCCAAAAACACGACAGTCTTACTCCGCTCGCGCCGTGATGTCGGCAAAGTGGTCTACTGGATAATACGTGCGTGCAATAAAAGTTCTCCACATACGTCAGTCGGATGACTTCGCGCGTGTGCGGATTTGCAACTGACCGCCACGCGTTGCAAGTGATTACATTACCCGGAAGCTGTTGCTTTTAAGAGTAATTGTGTAATATTTTTTCAATTAGTAAAATCTTGCCCGTCACATTTGTTCTGTCTCTTCTAACGCATGTTCAAGTTTTTTTTCCCCATCGCGGGGTTTAAACATCGTGATTAGTTTTACAATAACTCTTTTTCTCTCGGAGTGGTTGAACCGCCTATTTAATAACATTTCGTACGTAACAAGATTCATAGAGGTCATTACAGCGTCGGGGGCCTCTCCATAAAAACTGTGACTCACAAAATGTTATATGTTTGGCTCATTATTTTTATCGCAAGTACAAGAGAAAGGAGTAAAAAAAAAACCTGGCGTAAGCAACAACAAAAGCTCCGTATTACGAGAGTTCCGATAGTTCGAATCGAGACATAAATGATCACTGACTGGAGAAAAGCGGAAGAGTTTCGGTTGCACCGCCTTCAGCGCGAGCTTCCGACCTGTGATAACGCGCTTCTCATAAATGATCCTCCCTCGAGCCATGCATGCAGGCGCAGCCAAAGCATGGTTAAAGGCAACGAGTGCGT